ATGGCCATACACACTCAATTTCCTTTGAAGAAACTGTACAATTGGTGATATGCTGTTAAGACAATTTATACGATCTTCCGGGCACCTGGGTGGCTCTGTCAGTTAAGCGTCCCATTTTTGGTTTTAGCTCAGGTCATAATCTTACAGTTTGTGAGTTAGAGCCCCACATTGGGCTCCACGTTGACAGAGTGAGCCTGCTTGGGATTCTCTCACTCTCCTTCTTTCTCTGCTCCTCCCCTGCTCATGCTCACTCACACACACACTCTCTCTCTCCCAAAATAAACTTTTTTTAAAAAGATAAACTTATATCTCCTTTTATAATGCTCATTTATTTTCATGTATATTTATTCAAAGTTTGGCCCTTGTCATAAGTGCAATCATTGCTTTCTATATTCTTGTTATGATTCTTTTTATGGGAAAAATAGATATCTAAAAATGCAAATAAAAAGGTAAAAAAAAAAAGCACAGTTTTTCCTTGAGATGATTTGATTTTGCATTAACCCACAATTTTAAATGCCACAGCTATTGCTTTTCAGCCTTTTGGCTTAGATCAAGAGTAGTATCTGTTCTAACAGGCTTAGTAAAATACTACAACTATTTTTTTCTCTACATTTCATTTATGGAGACACACTAACTAAAAGGCACAGAATAGGGCATGTTTACATGGCCATTATAACAAACATATACATTAGAAGTGCAGGAATGTGTTGCCTTCCTGCTAAACAGAAAGTTCCTAAGCTTTTATAAATACAGAAGTTGTACAATGTAATGTCCTAAAGTACAAAAGATCATGTATGACATTTTTTCCACTAAGTGCTATTTCATGTTTTACTATGTCGTTCAACTCCCTGGAACTGTTTTGTATAATGACACATAGATACCAGTCCCTGATGTAGGAAGTCTGTCTCAGATGTAAGGTGTTCGATGCTTGAATTGACACCATGGGGTATAAACGGAAGTCATCCAGTTTGATAGTCAGTCCTGCAAACATCCTGCAAGATTAATACAACTAAATTCCATTTCTCCTAACTGCAAGATTTAAAAAGGAAAAGAAACCCAAAAACATATTGCAACTTAAAAAAAAATCATAGCATCTGCCTGTCCACATGCTTGACTTCTCTGCTGGCAGTTGAGGCCTTTTCTTACCAAAACATAATTTGCATATTTTGGTTGTTTTGTTTTGTTTGAAGTCAACTACAATGGATGCTATGTTCCATCAGGATTAATATGCTGAGCAATATTTACATCTCCAAATATCAGGTCACAATCTCTATTATATGTTGAAGGTAGAATGATAAATTGTCATATGTTTTGCATCTCAGAGCTGGTATCATTTTCACTTAGGGAATGCTGCCTGAAATTAACAAATTCCCAAAGGTAAAATGCATATTCTCTGAAATGTATTTCATTATGACAACACATGTATTTACTCATAAAATACCTTTTTAAAATTTTTTTAAATGTTTATTTATTTTTGAGAAAGAGAATGAGAGAGAGCACAAGCGGGGGAGGGGCAGAGAGAGAAACATACAGAATCTGAAGCAGCACAGAGCCCGATGTGGGACTCAAACTCAGGAACCGCGAGATCATGATCTGAGCTGAAGTCAGAAACTTAACTGACTGAGCCACCCAGGGCTACCATGGTTTACTCTTTGCTTTAATAAATTAAAAATAAGGTGCTAGCAAATATTTACTTTAACCCTTTCTTTGATTTTATAATGCTATTTACCAAGGTGGTGATGTGGGCAAATCTTGGGGTAAGAAAGGCGTGCTCTCTATGGGCCTCACTGCTATATTGAGAGGGCCAGCTAACGTCAGAGGTGTGGGCGGGTTCACTGGAGATGAGGTGGTGACAGGGTGGGCTCTATTCACTGAGCAGTGATAGGGGTGGGAAGGTTGACTGGGGAAGTGAGTGTTAAAGGAGAGGTCATGGATAATGGACTGGTTATAGTCACAGGGTGCCCTCTGTTCATCGGGCTGGTTGTTTTAAGTGCGCTGGAAACATTTACTCTCCTTTCGTGCTCATTGCTGCTCCCACTGTGACGGGGTTTGACATCGTTCCGGACGACCCAGAGGACACTATATTGAATGGAGCAGTGAGAGTCACAGGTGTCGTAGCAGCCGTGGAGGTTTGGCACATGTTAGCAGTTTCTTTCATTCTTGCTTTGACAGCGTCTTCCCCCAGTCTGTGTGTCCACCTGCTTTCCTGGCCGGCTCCTCACATGTTGCTGTTGTTGTTGCTGCAGCTGCAGCTTCTGGCTGCCGGTCTCTTCACTCATGCATGTTCTACTGATGTCTTGCTCACATGGGTTACAGTTGACACCTTGGCTCCGCCTGTGGGTCTTTAAGTGGCTGATGACGTCCGCTGCACTCAAGCTTCCCGCAGGCGTTACACCACATCTTGCCTTTGTGGCGCCGTGTGTCCGCAGTCTGTCTTTGGTGGCAAGGGCAGCAGTGCACGTCTGGAGGAGCCTTTCCCACAAACACTGCAAGTATGGGGTTTGGTGATGCCTCCTTCGTGAGCCCTCCAAGGGTGAGTCATGCGGTCCTTCCTCTTGAAGCGCGGATTGCAAACAGGACACTCTTAGGGCTTTTCATCAGCAGGGGAGAGCTTGTGCCGGTTGAGATGGTACACGTCCCGGAAGGCCTTCCCGCACGCTTGGTAGGTAGGCATGCTTCTTCTTGACAGGCTTGCTGGGTTTCTTGACAGTCGGGGTCACGGGCATAGCTGTGGTCCTGGCGCTGCTGCTGGGGTTGGTGCCGAGGAAGATGTAGTGACTGTTGATGAGATACCAGCAATGGTCGAGACCAACGAAGTTCTGCTGGTCCCCGGCGGTGGCGGAGGTGAGGGGGACCACCGCAGTGGGGGTTTTCTTTGACCAGGACCCAACTTGAACCCTGGGTGGCAGGACACGTGGCACCTCAGGGAATCGCTGTCCCTGAAAGCTTTACTGTGAATGCACACAAATGAAGTTTGGGGTTTTTCTTTTTTAACCCCGATGGCATCCTTTCGTGTTTCTGGCGCCACTTGAGGTTTCTGAGTTATTGGTACTGGAAGCAATGGTTTCTGATCTCGGGACTCCCAGCAGGGCTCAGGAGGGCAGCAAGCCGTTCTGTGCTGCCTGCTCTTGGTGATGGGAGGCTTCGTGGGCTGCCGTTTCACACATTCAGAAGTCTGTGGCAACAGAAAGTATTTTTACAGCATCACTGAAGCTCACTGTCAATGCCAGAATGCCTCGACCATCACGGGATCCCTCTCTGAGGATTCCTCGGATCCCCACACTTCTACACGAGCCCTTCTTTTTTTATTTTCATTTTTTAAGAATTTTTTTAAATATTTATTTTTGAGAGAGAGAGAGCAAGAGCAGAAGAGGGACAGAGGATCTGAAGCCGGCTCTGTGCTGAGAGCCACAGACCCAATGTGGGTCTTGAACTCAGGAACTGTGAGATCATGCGCTGAGCCTAAGTCTGACTTTCAATGACTGAGCCACCCAGGGGCCCCACCACATGAAGCCTCCTAAGAGGGGGACTGAGTTTCCCCAACTTGTTCTCTGAAGAAGAGACAGAATAAAATAACAACCATGGCCTGCCTTCAGTTAAGTGATTAAAAAAAAAAAAAAAAAAAAGGACTTCTGGGTAGACTTTTATTTGACTACTATCCTCAAACCAAAGCTTTAAATCTATCGCCCATCTCTTTCCATTTTTTTAAATTTATTTACCCATTTTTGAGAGAGACAGAGAGAGTGAGCAAGGGATGAGCAGAGAGAGAGAGGGAGAGAGAGGGTCCCAAGCAGGCTCTACACTGTCAGCGTGGAGCCCAGTGCGGGGCTCATACTCACAAAACATGAGATCATGACCTGAGCCAAAACCAAGAGTCTGATGCTTAACCAACGGAGCCACCCAGGTGCCTCCCACCCCCATCTCTTTCAACTTTAAGTCTTTTTACCGCTGCCCAAGCTTTCCTTTTTCTGGGATTGGCAAAAAAAAAAACAAAACAAAACAAAACAAAAACAAAAACAAAACAAAACAAAAAAAAAACACCACTCAGAAATGTTATTTCATAAGTCAGGCAGAGAAGGACAAATATTATATGTTTGCACGTATAGGAGGATTAGGAGGAACTTGACGGAGGAACAAGGGGGAGAAGAAGGGCGGAAATGGTGGGGGAAAGGGAGAGAGGCAAACCATGAGAGACTCTTGAATGCTGACAAAAACTGAGGACTGATGGATGTGGGGGGGAGGGGGGGATGGGCATGGAGGAGGGCACTTTGGGGATGAGCACTGAGTGTTATGTGGAAACTAATTTGGCAATAAACTATTTGTAAAAAAAAAAAAAAAAAAAGAAAGAAAGAAATGTTATTTCATCACCCAGGATGGTAGGATACAGCACCATGGAATCTCCAGTGTTGGGGGTGGGGGGGAAGAACTGAAACAAATTAGCACCAGTGAGTCATATCTTGAATGTCCTATTGGGAGAATCCATCAAACATCTAAACAGCCGTGGCTTTCACTTTCCACCAGGTGATCTGGAAAGCAAGCAGGTATTAAATTGTTTTAAAATATAAATTCAGTAGTATGCTCTAGGAAAAAAACAAGAGAGTTTAACTCTCCCACTTCCTCAGGAAAAATTACTTATAACTGAAGCTAAGTCCATTTGTATCTTTCTATAGAAAAGACAGAACTATTCTCTTTACCTCAGCTCTATTCTCAGTCCTCTATTCTCTATTCTCAGTCCTCGGTCTAAATTATCTTTCCAACAATTTTCACTTCACACATTGCCAAGCCCAGGATGAATATTAGCTTTCCCACTTCTCCAGCAGGGGGGGAAAAGATTTTAATTGCTGAAAAAAGTTAAGTAACATAAACTCTAATTCACAAGTGGATCATTAAATGCTTGGCATGTGTCTTATCCAGGAAAAGAATAACACAAGTATTCCAAAAGATTGTTCACCTACCTTTCTAAAAATAAGTTATAGGCTTTTCCTTTACATAAATAACTCAAAAATACGGAACGCTTCTTGAATTTACATGTTATCCTTGCACAGGGGCCATACTGATCTTCTCTGTATTGTTCCAATTTTAGTATACGTGCTGCCGAAGTGAGCCCTACAACTATTTAATAGAGATGAATATTATTGGATCCCAATTTAAGTAAGCAAGTACATCCTTCTGAAACATCAATGATTCTAATGGAGGAATTGCTTTCTTTCTGTTGTTATCTTCTATAGTCCTGTATTGAACTACTAGGTCAATATGCTATATTATTCACAAAATTACTATAGTGCAGGGGGCATAAATCTTTTTCTCTTATTCAAGTAAGATACCCACTAGTTTTCACAGGAATTCCAAACACAGAATGAGACTGTACCTCATTACTTATTTATTTCCCTGAAAGTAAAACTAGTGTTACTGTTGATTACTTCATAGACCATGTAGATGAATTTCTCCCCTTTCAAAAATATCCATCAATATAATGTTATTATTAAAATATACATTGGGGCGTCTTGGTGGCTCAGTCAGTTGAATGTCTGATTTCCGCTCAGGTCATAATCTCACAGTTCGTGAGTTTGAGCCCTGCGTTGGGCTCTGTGCTGACAGGGTGGAGCCTGGAGCCCGCTTCGATTCTGTGTCCCCCTCTCTCTCTGCCCCTTCCCTGCTCATGCTGTGTGTGTGTCTCTCTGTCTCTCTCTCTCTCTGTCAAAAAAAAACAAACAAACATTAAAATATACATCAGTCCATTACTTTTGTCCTTTCTGTACTCTAATATTTGTTTACTTGTTTACTCATTTTCCCTGATGTAATTATACATAAGGTTCAATAAAAGAAAAGTTTCAGCGTTTGCATTTCTTTCCTGCCCTTTATCATTATTCATTTTATTTTATTATTACTGAAAATAACTTTGTTGTATAAAAGAAAGAATGTAAAAAAAAAAAAATGCTTGTTCCAGGTGTCAAATACACTAGACTCACCACTGAAATGTTCTACTCTGGCAATCCATGCCTTAAATATTAGCTCTCCCAGCCTCAAAGTATTAATTTCAAAAAAAATTACTGGGTCTTGGGGCAAACAATTTCCATTGCTTGCACACTCTCTTGAACGGTGGCTCTCCAAAGTTAGCAAGCCCTAGGAGAGGTTGAAACACTGAGTGTCACCTGGGTGGCTCAGTCCATTGGGCAACTGACTTCAGCTCAGGCCATGATCTCGTGGTTCATGAGTTTGAGCTCCCATGTTGGACTCTGTGCTGACAGTGTGGAGCCGGGGACTGCTTCAGATTCTGTGTCTCCCTCTCTCTCTCTGCTCATGCTCTGTCTCTCTTTCCTTCAAAAATAAATAAACAACAAATCAAAACCACACTGAGATACCACCTCACACTGGTCAGAGTGACTAAAATGAACAAATAAGGAGACTCTAGATGCTGGTGAGGATGTGGAGAAATGGGCGCCCTCCTACACTGTTGGTGGGAATATAAGCTGGTGCAGCCCCTCTGGAAAACAATATGGAGGTTCTTCAAAAAATTAACAATAGAACTCCCCTATGACCCAGCAATAGCACTGCTAGGAATTTACCCAAGGGATACAGAAATGCTGATGCATAAGAGCACATAAAACCCAATGTTCATAGCAGCACTCTCAACAATAGCCAAAACATGGAAAGAACCTAAGTGTCCATCAACTGAAGAATAGATCAAGAAGATGTGGTATATTTATGCAATGGAATACTACATGGCAATGAGAAAGGATGAAATCTGGGCATGTGTAGCAACATGGATGGAACTTGAGGGTGTTATGCTGAGCAAAATAAGTCAGGCAGAGAAGGACAGATACCCTATGTTTGCACATATAGGTGGATTAGGAGGAGGCTAACGGAGGACTGTGAGGGAGAAGAAGAGGGAAAATAGTTGGGGAGAGGGAGGGAGGCAAACCATGAGAGACTCTTGAATGCTGAGACAAACTGAGGACTGATGGGGGTGGTGGACAGGGGAAGGGGGGTGATGGGCATGGGGGAGGGCACTTGTTGGGATGAGCACTGGGTGTTATCTGTAACCAACTTGACAATAAACTATTTTTTAAAAAATAATAAATAAATAAACATTTAAAAAGTTTAAAAAAAAAAAAGAACTTGCAGTTAGGTGAAACAAAAAATCCTTGTATAAACCAACGACGTGCAGTGTCTCAGACCATTCCTGGTAATTCATCATCCTAATAAAATACAAGCAACTAGTGGATTTGGTTTTGAATATTTGGCAAGTCCAACTGACCACTGATGCAATGTTGGGTTCTCTGAAAGCCGACACTAGGATGGAATTTTGTCTGTAGGGCATTTATTAAGGATGAACACTTGGAAGGTGGATGGGACTGTAGGATTAGGCAGAAGGTGAAAACAAATGGTCACGTAGACCTGGCAAAGGCTCAGCCAAACCCGCAGGGAGCTCTGGGGCATACAGGACCTATCAAACTTAACCCTCTTTGGGCCAAAATGGCCAGGCATTTATGCCCCTGCAAGATCAGTTAGATGTTGACTGTGAGGTGGCTTCTGGAACTAAGGCAAATCTTGACAGCTGATACAGTGAATCCTGTCCACTAAAGTCATGTCCAAATTGCAACATACAGGAAGAAATGTCCCAGGGATTCTCATTAGGGGGACAAATGTGCAGTTTAAGATAACTTAAAGGCATCAGTTGCTGCTTTCATTTAGTTGGTTTGATTGTGGGGGACACATCTTAAACTCTGAATGGAGTTTAACAAATCACATAATGGTTTCTATATAACGTTGTAAGAAAATAATTAGATAATGGCTTCTGTTGTCCGCCCCATGTCTCTTTTCTATTCTTGACGTCTTCTGGGTTTCTTTAGAGCTCTGAAAGATACCAGTTATAGCAGCTAATTATTGGAGGGCTAGGGTACAATTAAGACATGTAGATGTATTGAGACTGATAATATTCTAGAGTGTTCCAGGGTCAATTAAACCAATAGTTGCAAAGTCCAATGGTTAGAAAGTCCAGTGGTTGGGAAGAATTGCAGTCATTCAATTGTTTGAAAATGATATTTAGGAATTTTAAAGTTCATTGCCAGATCATGGATCTTGAATCAAAGATGATGGGAGAAAGATGTTTATACCAAGAACTATGGATCTTGATCAAAGATGATGGGAGAAAGATGTTTATACCAAGAACAAAAAAAAAAAAAAAACAGAAACAAAACAAAACAAAAAAAAAACACCTGAGACTATTTGTCTCAGCACAAATGACTCCAATCCAAACCCATGCACCAAGAGGCTTGACTAAACTCTAGCATGGCTCTGAGCAGACTAAGGCCATGTCCCTGGGATGACCGCCCCCTCCCCCTACCTTGAGTTTCTGTGGCAGAAGAGCTCAAAACCGTCAAAAGAACTTGCTATTTGTTTTAGTCAATACCTGATGATAGGCCCTTGACCTTCCTTTCTTAGAGCACTAATTAAAAAGGGCTTACAATTGGGACGCCTGGGTGGCTTAGTTGGTTAAGCATCTGACTTTTGCTTAGGTCATGATCTCGCGGTTCGTGGGTTCGGGACCCGCGTCGGGCTCTGTGCTGACTGCCAGCTCAGAGCCTGGAGCCTGTTTCAGTCTGTGACTCCCTCTCTCTCTGACCCTCCCCTGCTCACGCTGACTCTCTCCTAGAAATAAATAAAACATAAAAAAAAAAAAAGAAAGTGATACATAACAAGTATTTATCAATTTAAAAAAATAAATAAATAAATAAATAAAAAGGGCTTACAATTATAAATATTTCCTCTGTCCCTTTGAGATATATTTGTATTTCCTATAACCAAGAGTGTCTTTCTCAAGGGCCCAAAAACCATACCTTTGAAAGGTAATCATGAGAAAGGATGGGCCTTAGCCTCCAGTCTTTTGAGAGAGGGTAGAAGATACTAGTTAGCAGAAACAGATGGTTTGATCACATTCATGTTGACCCATACTCTTGCCTTGTTTATGTAATTTTCACTTCCCTGACTGCTCAAACCTGTACTTGCTCCCCTTCCCTCTTTCCTCATTCTCCCTTTAATACACCCTATCATCTCTGCACAAATTGGAGTGGACCTCACTGCTTTCCCCTATGGCAGTAGTTACTAAATAAAAGCTGCTTTTACCACTTTAACAAATGTTGAGCTTTGTTTATTTTTGACCATACCAAATGGTATCTTATTGATATATAAATTGTTTGGAGATAGCTTTCTACTTTTGGAAGCCTTCTGCTTAGGGAGACCACTTAATGAACCTCAGCATCAGATCTCCAGATATCTGGGATCCCAAACACATCATATTGATGGTATAGACTGAATTGTGTCCATCCAAAATGCTTATGTTGAAGCTCTTATGAACAGTACCTCAGGTTGTGACTATACTTGCAGGTAGGGTACTTAAGGTTGAAATTTCCTTTCTAGTAAGTTCTAAGGCTGGCTTCTATTGGTGTCTCTTCTTTTTTATTTTTTTTATCTTTTTAATAGTTTATTGTCAAGTTGGTTTCCATATAACACCCAGTGCTCATCCCCACAAGTGCCCTCCCCAATGCCCATCTCCCCCTTTCCCCTCCACCCACCCCCATTAGCCCTCAGTTTGTTCTCAGCATTCAAGAGTCCCTCATGGTTTGCCTCCCTCCCTCTCCCCAGCTATTTCCCCCCTTCATCTCCCCCATGGTTCTCCATTAAGTTCCTCCTAATCCACCTATACATGTAAACACAGGGTATCTGTCCTTCCCTGCCTGACTTATTTCGCTCAGCATAACACCCTCAAGTTCCATCCATGTTGCTACACGTGGCCAGATTTCATTTTCTCATTGCCATTGTATAGACAAACCACAACTTCTTGGTCCATTCATCAGTGAATGGACACTTAGACTCTTTCCATGTTTTGGCTATTGTTGAGAGTGCTGCTATGAACATTGGGGTACATGTGCCCCTATGCATCAGCACTCCTGTATCCCTTGGGTAAATTCCTAGTGCTATTGCTGGGTCATAGGGGAATTCTACTGCTAATTTTTTGAGGAACCGCCACACTGTTTTCCACAGGGGCTGCAGCAGTTTACATTCCCACCAACAGTGTAGGAGGGTGCCCGTTCCTCCACATCCTCG